TGACGAGGGCACGGACCCCACTCACGAGGGGTCTGCCCGGACCACACCGTTCCTCGCTCCTGGCACCATCGCCAGGTCACGGTTCTGAACCTGAGTGAGTTGGGAGAGGACCCCGGCATCCAGGCCACACAGCAGGCCACGTCCCGGCCACAGCTGCAGGTGCACACAATCACGACCGAAATGAGGAGCGGGAGGTTCTGGAGTCTCTGTCTCTGTGGGCGGGTGGGAGGCAGGTGTCCAGTGAGGGACAAGGTGCAGAGGCCACCGCACTCAGGGCCGGCGCTCTGCACCCGCCCGCGGAGCCTGGCTTCCCCACAGCTCAGGGGAGTCTGCAGGAAGGTTACCGCCAGAGACACTTTCGTTTCTCCTTCCTCTTTCCCCTGCGTGAATTTTCCCCCTCAACATAAGGGAGGAGCCGAGTTCCCCGGTCACACTTGTCCTCCACCTGTAAAACCAGTGGGAGGAAATTACATTTTTTAGGGCTGCTGTGGCTTAGACTGAACACGTCACCCCGAAGTCTCACGTGTTGGGAGGTGTGAGCTGGCAGGGTGTGTTCCTGTCCCGGGCTGCTCTCCTCTCTCTCCGCTTCCTGGCTTTCCCGCTGAGCACTTCCACCACGCTGCTTCTGCCTTGGACCCCGCTGACCACGAACTGAACCTTCGCAGACTCTGAGGTAAAATAACCCTGTCCTCCTTCAGGTTTCGGGAGTCAGGTATTTTCCCAGCAAAAAGAGAACATTCTACAGTGTTCAAAGACTCAACCCATCAGGAAGACAGAAAAATTAAAAGTGGGCCAGGCGTGGTAGAGCACACCTGTCATCCCAGCACTCGGGAGGCTGAGGCAGGAGGATCACCAAATGTTCAAGGCCAGCCTGAACTACATAGTGAGACCCTGTCTCCAAAAAAAAAGAAAAGAGAGAAAGAAAAAATAAAATGTATATGTGCATAACAAAAAGTCCCATATTCCATGTAGCAAACCTCTCAGAATTTAAGGGGTAAATAGGCAAGTCGGCAATAAACGTTGAGAGTGTTCCATCCAAGTTTCCATAAAGGACACGGGAGCAAGGCAGAGTCATCTTACAGAGATACACACGTGGAGCATGACCGCAGGTCCGCGCCAGACACGCGCGTGGTGCCGGGATACAGTGCGACCCGTCTGTACGAGCTCACACTGAGCCGATCGATGAGTCCCGGTCTCTGTCTCCTTGGCAGTGGACACCCCAGCAGTGCGCGGTGCAGACCGGCAGCCGCGTGGAACTGTGCACTCCACACGGGGCGCACGACGCCTTCCAGCGGCCACCCTCGGACCCGCTGGGGCTGAGTGCGAGAAGCCCGGCTCTTCACACGTCTGTAAACTGAGCACCAGGTCCGCTGAGGGCATCACATCGCAGCATCGCTGCCCGGCCTGCAATCCCAGAGGACGCTGGAGAAGTCGGGCTTCGGCTCCCTCCTCTCCCGCTGCGGGGACTACGGTCGGTGCCCGGAAGGCCGACTCGGGTTCCGGTTCAGGTGACACAAAGAGCTGTCAGATCACGTGCCATTCACTCAGGAAAAATGAGAAAGAAACTTTAAAGAGTGACGAGAGAACTGGCTCCAATCTAAGGGAACCCACGAAGGAGCCTCCAGAGGCCCGACAGGCAGAGTGCAAAGCGATAGAGTGGCCACAGGGCCAGAGAGCCGGAAGCCGGTGGCTCGCTGGGGAGCCGAACTCCTTCCACCCTCCGGACGCTCGGGACACACAGTCACTGCCTTCACGAGGGGACCGCGGAGGGCTCAGAGCTGCTGTAGAGGCTGAGTTCCCTCTTGAGGTTTGATGTGGAACAGCCAGAGAGCGGAGCCCTGTTCTTAGGGGAAAGGATGAAGGAAAAGCTAAGGACGCCTGTGGCTGTCTGCGGGCGCCCTCCTCTCCAGGCAGCTCCAGGACCCCGGGGGCAGGAGCAGGGACGCACACGGCTTCTTCCTCCAGAGTGGTATCCCCGCGGAACACATGGCACAGGGGGCCCGGAAGGAGAGGCAGCCGTGCCCCACGATGACACCACCGCCGCAGCGCTGTGGAGCAGCAGGAGGGCGCTTCTGCTTCCCCTGAGGGACTCAGAGTCCTGCGCTCTGCACACCACGCCCCGTCCATGCCCGAGGCCACCTGGCGAGTTTCACGGCCAGCCTCGTCCTTCGTCCTCTCTGACTCAATCACAGGGGACTGCCACGCTGAGCAGGAGGGGGCGGGACGAGGCCCCACTTAGGTCACAAGGTTGGGAGGAAACCTTGCTCCCTGGAGATTCTCTCTGGAGATGTGGATTAGGCCCACAGAGGCGCTGTGACTCACAGTGAGGGTCACGTGGCCTTCCCACGGGCCGCTCCTGGTTGCTATGGGAACACTTCTGATGTCCGCTTGCATGAAGGACACTCTGCTCCCAAAGCTGTAGGAAGTGTTCAGCTGCTGAAGAGCAGCACATGCCAGTGATAACCAAAGGTTCTGTGGCATTTTCTACCACCGCAGAGAAGAAACTCATCACCTGAGGCCGATTCTCTTTCACACTCCTACACCCTATCCACAGTGGCTTCCTCTGTGGACACAGGAAGTTCCGCCATAACATCTCCCCTGTGGACACAGGAAGTTCCACCATAACATCTCCCCTGTGGACACAAGAAGTTCTGCCATAGTATCTCCTCTGTGGGCACAGGAAGTTCCGCCATAACATCCTATGACGGAGGGGGTCTCAGCAGCAGGGGATACATTCTCAACATATATGTCATCCCAAAAGGTGCCACAAGGTTGCTTTCTCCCAAGACCCCAAATTCTTTTCTCCATAAGAACCTTGCACCCAATTATCTTAGCTGGGCATGGTGGCGCACGCGTGTAATCCCAGCACTCGGTAGGGTGAGGCAGGAGGATCACTGTGAGTTTGAGACCAGCTTAGGCTACAAAGTGAGCTCGAGGCCAGTTTGAACCGCATAGTGAGACTCTGTCTCAAAAAAAAAAAAAAAAAAAGAACCTTGCACCCAATTATCTGTCTGACCTTAAATATTTATTATTGACCAAGATTCTGATATACTTTTTCCCTAGATGATGCTAAAAATAAAAAATGAACCTTCCAAAGATTTTACATGACTGGTTACTAAGTTGTAGCACATTAAGGTTGGTTCATCAGACAACGGATCACGCGATAGCCTTGTGTTCACAAACACCGTGCATTTTCCACACGACCGCATGCACAGGGGCCTGTAATCCCTGCAGGGGCCGTCGCTAGTGTGCAGTGACGTTACCTAACCCTGAAAATGAGCCACGCGTCCCTCTTATTTCTCCTCCAGAACAGTGGTGCTCGGACAGGGGCCGAGAACCGTGTGTGTGTGTGTGTGTGTGTGTGTGTGTGTGTGTGTGTGTGTGAGATGTGCTGGGGGTAAAGAGAAAAGGTTAGGAACAGGGGGCCCCGTTTGGGAGGGGTGAATCCGACCAAGCACCCTTCTGCTCCTTTGCCAGATGGCCCTGGAGTAGTTGCTCACCCACCCTCCCTCTGGTGACCAGGACGTGGTCAGGTTAGAGGAGATGATACATATTAAGCAAGCAGCACAGCATCCTGAAAAGACACTACAAAAACTGGCTGCTTCTGGCCAGGTGTGGTAGGGCACGCTGGAGCACACCTGTAATCCCAGCACTCGGGAGGCTGAGGCAGGAGGATGGCCTCGAGGTCAAGGCCAGCCTGGGCTACACAGGAGTTCAAGGCCAGTCTGGACTACATAGTGAGATCCTGTCTTAAAAAAGAAGAAAAGGTCCCTCCTCCCTGTGTGACCAGACGCTGAGTGACACTAAGTGTCTCCCTGCCGGCCGCCTCCCACACCTGCAGTGTTTACTTTAGAAGCTAAACCACGGCGCTCCGAGCATGGCCAAACTCTCCACCAGCTCTCCCAGACCGTGACTGAGGTCTCGCTATCTCGGGGAAGCTGAGAGTTCAAGGCCTCCCTGCGCTACACCGTGAGTTCGAGGGGCCCTGCCTCAAAACACCACAGAGCAAAGATGCAGGAGCAGACGCCGATCTCTCGCACGCAGGGCGGCGGTGCCCTTGGCCACCCTGACCAGAAGACGGAGGGGCTGAGTCCCGCGGCCCCTGCCGCACCACGCAGCCGGACACATGTGGCGGCTACAAAGGCGGCTTTGTGCTCCGGGAGCCGGGGCGGCTCTGCACTTGTCACCCAGCAGGAGCGTAAACATCCCGCTTGGCAGTGGGGAGGCAGCGCAAGTCTCACCGCTGTCCTTGCCCAGGACCGACGGGGGACTCGCTGGGACCCGCTCAGCCGGGCCCCGGGGACCGGGCACTGGGCACAGCCGGCGCTCCAGGTGACCCGGTGCCCAGGGAGTTGAGAAACCCGGCACGGGCACCACTTCAAGTCCTCCGTGCTCTTGTTTGTGCTCACTGTACACAAAGGACAGTGTTCGGGCCCAGGACCCCGAGCGGAACTCGCCGCCCGGAACAGCTGGAATACTTTGCTTTGCTTTGTGGTTTTTTTTTTTTTTGACACAAGGTCTCACTGTGTAGCCCAGGCTGGGCTTGCACTCGTGGCAGTCCTCCTGCCTCAGCTTCCTAGGTGCTGGGATCACAGATGTGGCCTCCACACCTGGCTTTCGGCAGCTGTTTTAGGCCATGAGGTGACCCTGGGAACAGAGGCTGATCACAGTGAGAAGGAAGTCGTCGATCAAAATCAGAGACACAGCTCTGAGCCGCCTCCTTCCGGCTCTCAAGACCACAGAGACGCACACGCGCGCCCACTGTCTCCGGCACGGGGAATAAAGTTAGCCGGTTTAGATGGCACCGTGGGGCACACCTGTGACCCAGCACTCTGGAGGCTGAGGCAGGAGGATCACCTCATGTTTGAGGCCAGCCTGGGCTCTACAGAGAGACCCTGTCTCAAAAAAAAGCCAGACACAGTGGTGCACACCTATAATCCCAGCACTCAGGAGGCTGAGGCAGGGGGATCACTATGAGCATGAGGTCACCCTGGGCTACAGAGTAAGACCCTGTCTCACAAAACAAAACAAAACAACAAAACACCCCCCAAAAATGAGGGGGGTGGTAAAAGGCTTGTTCTGACTCAGACAGTTCCTTGTTCTGACTCAGAGAGTTCCGCTTCTACATAAACAGCGCAGCAAGAATTGAACAGGGAAAAGGGGCCCAGAAGGCCCAGGCCCGTGCACTCATCCCAGCAGGAAGCACGAGAAGCCAGGGGACTGGAGGCCGGAGCGGCACTTCGCACAGGATTTCGTTTTCCCTACCAGGAGAGCAGCCTCGTGGAGGGCCCAGCCACCTCGTTCCTGCCGGCACTCGGGGCAGGGAGGCGGCTGCCCTGCACCCAGGCCAAGGCGTTCATCTGCTGGCCTGTGAGCCAGCCCAGGCAAACCAACTGCTAGGGACAGCATTCAGGTCACTCTGCAGCACACGAAGGGTCGTGCAGTTCATCCAGGATTGAAGGTTTTCTGCTGGGCGTGGTGGCGCATGCCTGTCATCCCAGCACTCAGGAGGCTGAGGCGGGAGGATTATCTCAAGGTCATGGCCTGGGCTGCATAGAGAATCCCTGTCTCAGGAAGCAAACAAATAGAAAGGGAACCCAAGGAAAGGGTTCGCATCCTAAGAATCCAGCCAACGAATCCAGCCAACGGAGCCGAGGACCGGAGAGAGGACCAAGGAGAGAGGGGAGCCCCGGTACCTTCATCCCCGCGGCGGCCGCAGGCCCGCTGGGGTCCACGGCTTGGATGTGGCACGGCTTACTTCCTCGCACCACGAAGCCCCAGCCCACGGCGTCGCCCACGATCTGGAGGAAGAGCACAGTCAGCGGCGCGGGAGGAGGCGGGGACGGGACCGACCCTACTTGCATCCACACCCGGGCGCGGGGCGGGGCCGGGACTCACACAGGAGCGCTCGCTCCCCAGACCCAGTTTCTTCCCCCGGTGCATTCTTTTCCCCTGGGTCCAAATGACGCACGATATTCTGACACGGGGTCTCGCTGCGCATTCCAGGCTGACCATGAACTCAGAGCAACTCTCCCGCCTCAGCCTCCCGAGTGCCTGGATGACGGGTGTGCACCACTACGCTCAGCTCAAAGGGTCCATTTTGGATCTAGCTATGTCCCCGAGGCCTAGGATAACACAGTGAGAGGCTCACAGTGGGAAATGCGGTCATGGCCTCTTGAAACACAATTTTCTTGAGCAAGGAAATGAAGTGAGAAAGTACCAGAGGGCACAGTATAGAGTGGAGGCCGAGGCAGGACTGTTGGGAACCAACGCTGCCGCCTTCCCTGCGTCACCGGGCCGGGCGGTTACCGCGCACAGGCCCCGGGCGCGGGTCGCTTTTCTTATGTGTTTATTTTTGGGTTTGGGACACAGGGTCGCACTATGCACTTCAGGTTGGTCTCAAACTCGCCGCGCAGCTCGGGTCACGGCCAGCCAGGGCCACACAGCGGGGCCGGGCTCAAACCCAGCAAGGCCACACCGGCCCGCCGCTCCCCCGCACCTCCCCCGAGCCCGCCTACCGTGAACGTCTTCCGGGCGTAGGGCGCCCCAGGGGTCAGCAGCTCCTCCGAGGTGACAGGCCTCTTCAGCACTGGGGACAGACATAGTCAGCGACCACCGCCCCCGCCAGGCCCCCGAGGACACAGCGAGGGCAAACAGCAGCAAACTCCCGACCCCAGGTCCCAGTGACGAGGAGAAAGAGAAAACGCATTTCTGGAGTTGTTTTTTGAGACAGGGTCTCGCTATGTAGTTCAGGCTGGCCTGAAACTTGCAGCGATCCTCCTGCCTCAGCCTCCCTGCAGCTGGGATAACAAGCGTGCACCACTGCGCATAGCTTATGAAAAATACAGAAAAAATTTTAAAAGGGAAGAAGAGGAGCGGGGTGAAGAGGAGGGTTTTCTAATTCTGCCCTTCTTTCCTCTGGATCTAGACGCCTTCTCGCCTCAGAGACCGAAGCAACCGGAGCTCCAGGGCAGTGGTCGGGTTCCCCACGCAGGGCCGTAAGCCCCACCCCTGACTAGGGCGCCCCCTTTCCCCGCTGGGCCAAGGAGGCCCGCAGGCTGGGCCGCACCCCGCACATCCGGGCTCTGGCACACGCATGCGCACTAGGCTGGCGTGACCCACGCTACACTCACTCACTCACTCACTCGCCACGAGAACGTGCCTCGGCTCCTTCTGACACTCACTTCGTATTCGAGAAAGCAGGCTTAGAAAAGTCAGTTCGTTGCCAGGTATGGCGGCACATGCCTGTCATCCCCGCGCTCAGGAGGCTGAGGCAGGAGGATCACCGAGAGTGCAAGGCCGGTTTCACAGGAAACGATTTTCCCCTGGCCTGGGCAGAGAGGTGGTTTGTGGAGGACTCAGGCACATTTCCTTTACTGTGCACTTTGCTTCCATTATTATTACATCGTGCAATTTGCTTCTGCTGTTACTATTTTTGGTTTCGTTGAGATAGCCTTGCTGTGCCACCCAGGCTGGCCTTGAACTTGCAGTGATCCTCCTGCCTCAGCCTCCTAAGTGCTGGGACGGGCCTCCTCGTGGGCACCAATGTGCAGCAGCTGCTCAGTATGTGGGGATGGGCACGCTGGGCTGCACCCCAGACAGGGGTCCCCACGGCCTCCCCCCCTCCTCACCCTTCAGCAGGACCTCAGCCTGCCTCAGCCTCCCGCCCGCACTCACCGGACTTGGGGTTGCACAGCACAGGGGGGCTGCTGCTCAGGGTTGGGCTGCTGCTAAAGTAGCCGCTGCTGCCGCCGCTGCTCAGGCTACTCCTGCGCCCCGCAGAGGACACCTTGATCTCCTTGCTGGGGCTCACTGCGGGAGGGGCACAGTCAGCAGGCGCCTGAGGCTGAGGCAGGAGGATCTCAAGCGCCAGCCCTGCCTGCACAACTTAACAAGACTCAGTGTCAAGTGAAGGACCCTGCAGTCCGCAGGGTGAGTGCGACGGTGAGGTCCACTCAGGACCCCCAACCCTCCAGGCCGCACCGCAGCTGTCGGGAGGCTGAGGCGGGTGGACTGCAAGTTCGAGTCCTGCCTGGGCCGCAGAGAGACCCTGTCTCTAGAGACAAATACTGTTGCTTGTGGGTCCATCGTCGCTGCCGAGTGACCTTGAGACATGCTGACCTCCTGCGTGGGGAGTCACTGTCCCCGGCTTCTGCCGCCCCGAGATGGCGGGCGCCTCTCCCTGGACACAGCAGCCCGCATGAGGGACCCTGACCCCCGTCTCTGTCGCCCTGGGCTGGACACGGCCTCCCTGAGGGCAGCCCAGCCGCTTCTCCTTAATTCCCGGCTTCCTCTGGGGCCAGGACCCTCGCCCAGCACTTTTCCTTCCGTTCAGCACCCAGTCACCGCTGCAGTGCATCCTCCTGCCTCAGCCTCTCGAGCAGCTGTGATCCCGGCTGGCGCCCTGCTCTGCCCTTCTCCCAAGCCCCCAGACCCCGAGCCCCGCACCCCACGCCCGGGCGTACCTGACATGAAGCTGGTGGCCTTGCGGGCGTCGTGGCCCTGCCTGCGTGGGCAGAAGGGGCTGTCGTGCGTGTCGGGGGCGCCCGGGGTCGTCTCGCTGAGCAGCTCCATCAGCCTCCGGCGCCGGCGGAAGTTGGTGCGGAACTGGTAGAGCAGGTTGCTGTCCACAAACGGGCGCCTGCCGGACACTGCGGGGAGACGCCGGTGAGCGCCACGCCAGCCACGGGGCACAGGCTCCCGGGAGACCTCGGCTCCCAGAGTGACACACACCCGAAAACTGTGTGAGCCAGCAGGGCATGGCAGGCACACCTGTCATCCAGCACTCTGGAGGCTGAGGCAGGAGGATCACCACAAGATCTAGTTCCAGGCCATCCTTGGCTACATAGGGAGACCGTGTCTCAAAAAGCCAATCAATCAATAAATACAGAAAAAGGGCACAATCTGAGGGGCAGGGTGACGGTTTGCTGGTGACTCCAGAACCACGAAGTCGGCCCGGGATAGAGCACAGCGGCACAAGCGCCTGCCCGGCAAGCACAAGGTCCTGAGTTCGAGTCCCAGTAACAACAACAATATAAAAGAACCTCGGATTGGTTCCAGGTGTTCCCATCTCAGAGGCCAGGGCTGCCTGGTACCTGGCACGGCACGGTGTGGGCACGGGGAGTGCGTCCAGTCACGGAGGAAGCACGAGGGGCTTCACAGCCCCGGCTGCACCCCAGCTGCAGCCCTGCCTCACACCGTCGCTCGAGGTCACCTCCTGCCGTCAGGACCTCTTGGGGCCTTGGGTGAGCTTAGCACGAACAGACGCAAAACTGGGAGCTAGGGCGGGCATGGGGGCACACGCCTGTCATCCTAGCACTCGGGAGGCTGAGGCGGGAGGATCGCTGTGCTTTGGGGCCAGCCTACACTACACAGTGAGACCAGGTCTCAAAAAAAAAGGCCTTTATGCTCAGTGCACTACAGGTCTGCTTCCCTTCAGCCCGGCTGACACCAGCACACCCGCACCCCAGCCCCGCCCGTCCCAGCTGCCCGCCCCTCCGGCCACACCGCCCGGGGCTGTGTTTATGTTTCCTCTACTTTGGACTCGGCTGTAATAAAAGGGAGGTCAGAGCCAAGGCATAGGCGCACACGCAAAGCACGGTGAAAACAGTCCCAGAAACTACACCAAGAAAGTAAAAAATTAAGCCGGGCGTGGTGCCGCACCTGTCTCCCCAGCTCGCCGGGAGGCTGAGGCAGGAGTTCAAGGCCAGCCTGGGCCACTTAGCAACTTAATGAGACCCTGTGTCACAGTTTTAAAAAGTACAATTTTAAAAGGCTAAGACTGTGGGTTCAGTCACCAGTACCATGAAAGAAAGAAAGAAGAAAGAGAGGAAGAAAGGAGGGAGGGAGATTGAGCGCTGAAAACACTCCAAATATTAAACACTGAGAACAGAACGAGAAACATGATCTGTTCCTACTCAGAGCTTGTCGTGTGAGGTCAGGTGACGGTGCCAGCTGCGGCCACCTCCACATGCCCCTCTAGGGAACGAGAAGGCCTACTGGCCCAGGGACTGTTGTGAACAGCAGAAGGACGGGCAGAAAGAGGCTGAGGCAGGAGGATCTCTGAGTTCAAGGCCACCCTGAGCTACAGAGCGAGCCTGCCTCGTCACCTGCCCAGCCCCTGTCCTACGGTTTCCTGGGTTTCTGGGAGCCGAGTCTCCGGTCATCTGAGGGTGCTGCCTCCCCTCTGCTGTTGTCTGTCATTTACTTTGTTCCTTAATTTATTTATGCGCTGGACTTCTCAAATCTGCTTCTTTTGTTTGCTTCAGAACAGAAATATTAGCAAGGGCTGTGGGTCGCTTCCCTGAGGAGAGGGCGCCCTGCAAGCCCCAAGCCGCTCGGGCAGAACTGCAGGCCCGGCCGGCTTTGCTCCCCATTACCCCTGTCGGGAGCAGCTCGAAATCACCTGGCCTCCTCTGCTGCCGGCAGCCATGACCGCGACACTGCCACGCAGGTCGCTGCCCACAGCCTCAGCCGCTGCGGCCCTGAGCTGCGGGAAGAGCCGGGTGTTTCCCAGGCTAGGTGGGGCCTGAAAGCTGAGCCTTCATCTGCAGAGCTGGGAACTGAACTCAGGGTTTTCAATTTTTTATTTTTAGACAGGGTCTTGCTAAGTGGCTAAGTTCCCCAGGTGGGGCTCAAACTTGCCATCCTCCTGCCTCAGCCTCCCAGAGCGCGGGATGACCCCCTCACCGTCAGTGTGGTGCTTCCACCTGGGTCCGACCCCGCCTCCCCTCCCCGCCCGCCCGGCTGTCCTCCCTCCCTCCAGGCCTGCCAGCCTTCTTGCACTCTGCACAGATGGCAAAGCCGGGCTTCTCTTTCAGCTCAGCGAGGCTGAGAAGAAATGAGAGCGCTGGGGCAGAGGCGGGAGGCGGGAGACACGGGAGCTCCACAAACACCGGCAGCCCCAGCTACGGGGAGGCTGAGGCAGGAGGATCACAGCTCGGGCCACAGCTCAGTGGGAAAACGATCGTGGCTTCTGTCCCCAGTGTCCCCGAGAGGGGAAAAGGAACGGAGAAGAGGAGGTGAGCGCTGCTGAGGACCGCAGCCCGCCCCCGTGTCTCTGTCCTCCCACGTTGCAGCCTCGAGGACAAGAACAGGACGCAGCGGCCGTCCTGCACCCCACTGTGTCACAGCCGCTCGGGACCTCATGCGGGGCCCTCAGAGTCAGAACGGGAGTCTAGTTACAAACTGAAAGACCGGAGGAGCTCAAAGCCAGGCTGGCGGCGCGCCCCGTGAGCACAGTCCTCGGCAGGCTGAGGCAGGAGGATCGCTGAGTTCAGGCAGGCCAGCCTGGGCTACACAGCGAGACACCGTCTCAAATAAAACTACAAAATAAAAAATAAAATCTCTGGAGTATTTGGCCCAGTGCCTGATACACGGTAAACATCAGTATGTGAAGAGGCTGGACAAATATGCGCGTTTGTGTGAATGTGCTCGGGCCCACGCTGTCCTTACACGGAGCTGTGCAGGCTCCCGGCCGCCTGGGCTTTGGAGGGAGCTGCTATTCACACTGCTGCCTCTATCCGGGACCGCCAGACCCACAGGCCTTCAGGCCTGACCTAGAGGCGACTTTCTTTACTGTTCAACCGCTGCCTTTAATTATTAGCCAGCCTATTGGAGCGGAGCCTAAGACAACAGCTGGTGCTGAGCCTGTGCCTTCACACACGGGAAGAGCCTGTGTGAGCTGCTGAGCTGCACAACTATGTGTGCCCGGAAAACACAGCCCCCAAAACACACAGTACTTCACCAGACACGGAGGATACACCTATGATCCCTGCACTCGGGAGGCTGAGGCAGGATCGCTGTGAGTTCAAGGCCAGCCTGCGTTACATAGCAAGACGTTGCTGCAAAAAAACAAAAACAGAGACAGAGAGAGAGAGAAGGGAGAAAGCCAGCCCCTGCGATGCTCGTTACGCGGTGGCGCTGACCGCTGCACTCACCGTGCTGGATGATGCCCTGATCCATGAGCCGCCGGCACAGCTGCTCGCCCTCCTTCCGGGTGGTGGCCTCGCCCTCCTGCACCAGCCAGTCCAGGAGCTCGGACGCCACGAAGGTGCGCTCGTACCTGACGCCCTCTTCCTCGCGGGGCTGCAGGAGGGAGCTGTCGGGGCTCATCAGCCTGGGGACAGGGAGAGGGCACCGCAGGGCGGTGAGACCACGGGGCAGCAGGAGTGTCCGGGGCAACCCTGCAAGACTCTGCTGCCAAAACCCGCGAGCTGTGGGTCCTCCCAGCATCGAGGAGCGCGGGGAGTGCCCGCTGTCCAAGGACGCCCCGGGGTGGGGCGTAGCCAGGCACAGTGCCGGCCTTGGCCCTTGAAGCCCAGGTCTGACCCAGCACCAGGAAGAAAACAAAAGGAAAGCTGTTACACAATCGGGCACCATGGCCCACACCTGCAATCCCAGCACTTGGGAGGCTGAGGCAGGAGGGTCGCCGTTATGGTTTGTGTCTACATGCCACCCCAAATCCTCATGCAGTCCTGGGGCAGGCTTCTAGATTTTTGATTGATCCATAGTCCAATGCTGGGATTATGGTGTGAGTGCCACACCTGCCCTGGGGCGGGTAGACTGCATACAGTGTAAGGCAGGGAAAGAGGCTGCTTGCCACCACTCCTCCCTTTTGCTCTGGTTGCTTTGGCTATCTTCTGCCACCATGAACTGGTGCCCTCTGCCATGTGCCACCCTGCCTTGTAGCCAGCCGTGTATGGACTGAAACCTCCACAAACTGTGAGCTAAATAAACCTTTCCTTCCTTGATTCTGGGTGTCAGGTATTTTGACTCAGTGAGGAGAGAAAAGTAACCAGGATAGCTGCTGAGAGTTCCAGGCCAGCCTGGGCTACACAGTGAGTTCAGGACCAGCTAAACTACACAGTGAGACCCTGCCTCAAAAAATCACACACACACACACACACACACACACACACACACCCAGACAGAGAGAGGGAGACAGACACAGCTTTAAAGGAAAGTCACCTGCTCATACAATGAAGAGTTATTTTCGTGATCACCCACTACTTGTCTCTGATACCTAAAACTTCACTCACCCACGTCTGGGCAGGGCTGCTCTGTGCGGGTGTGAGTTCCGCCCTCGTGAGAGCGAAGAGAAAACGAGGCAGAGCAGGGCGGTGCAGAGAGAGCACGTGCGGCGGAGGGGGAGGGGTGCGGACCGAGCCGGGAGGAGGCCGCGGCCCCAGCAAAGCAGGGAGCCCGACCCTGCCTCGCAGAGCACACGGAACGTCAGCCCAGCAGAGTAAAGCCTTCGTTTTCGGACATAAAACTCGTCTTTAACAAAATAAAGCACAAAGAGTTTTCATGGGCTTGAGTTTAGCCAAGCATTCTTAGACTCCACCCCGCGTGCAGATGGCGAAGGGCGCGGCTGCTGGCGGGGGACAGGACGGACGGGC